ACAGAGACACTGGGGTCTGGACCCTCAGCGAAGCCAGGGCAGGTCCCAGAGCTTCACGCCTCAGGCCCCGGAATCAGAACTGTGTCCCGAGGAGGCCAGACATCGGACAAGAGGGGGCGTCTCCCTGCTCACCCACCAGGCACCTGGCCCGGGGGGAGGGAGGCTGTGCTTGTGTCACGGTGGGGGAGACGCGCGGTCTGGCTCTGGGAGGGACCCCCAGTTCCTCGGGGCTCGGTCTGTGTCGCCCACCCTGGGTTGGAGAGGTCTTCGAGGCTGACTCAAGCGTTGGGAATTCACACCCTTTCCTCCTGGGCTCTCGGGCACACGGCTTCGATGGAAGTGGGGCATCGTGGTTCCGACAGAGGACCCGCTTCCATAACCGAGTGCCAGTGGGATGCTCGTTCTGTCCTTCCCAGATCGTCACTCAGCGTCGGGGTCCAGGAAGCCCAGCCGATCCCTGGAATCGAACTGGTTTCCAAGGGCTGTGCCTATGGGGTCTCTCTCTCTCTCTCTCTCTCTCTCTCTCTCTCTCCCTCTCCCTCTCCCTGCTCAAGCCCTATCAGGGGTGCTAAAGGGTCGAAATATCCCACATGCCTTGTGCTCCTTTTGCACGTTGTTTCCAAAATAACCGGCTTAGAGGGGCAGGTCCATGTCCGTTCTGTGTGGTAAGTGGGGGATTAGACCCCTCACTTCCCACCTGCCTCCCGAGAGGCTACGGAGTGCGTTACAGACGTTAGTCAAGTGTTAGTCCTCGCGCCTCCCCGGGCAGGGAAGCAGCGTTAGAGGAGGATGCTGAGGCGCAGAGAGGCCAGGCCGTGGGAGAAGCCACACAGCACACGATGGCGAGTCAGGCAGAGGCCCGCGGTTCTCGCCGCCATCCCGCCGGCGTGGCTCTGCGAGGCTCATCTCAGCCAGGACACCTCTGCGCAGGCGGCAGCCATCACGGCGAAGGTTTGCGGGGGTAGCGATGAGCACTCCCTGCCCCGATCCCGGGTCCGCTGCCACATTGGGCAGTTTGTCCCGGGCCTCCCTCCGTCATCCCTGATCCTGCGTCACCTGCCCTTCGCCCGATGACAGGATGTTGCATTTCCTGGTACTGTCATTGCCAAGCCCCCGCCCCG